TTAACTCTCGGACACAGAAACCTATTTGACAATTAACTCTCGGACACAGAAACCTATTTGACAATTAACTCCCGGAAACAAAAACTACTTAGACAATTAACTTTTGGACAAAAAAACAACTTCTTCGACAATTAACTCTCGGACACGGAAATTTATTTGCCAGTTAACTGTTGGACATAGTCAACATAAACACATTAGTTTGCTCTATATTTAAGGCATGATTGCGGCATGAAGGCTTGTTAACTTGTTTCGTAGCATAACTTAACTTAGCAGCAACATATGACATAGTGGGTGAGCTAAATTTAGGCCAACATTTCCACCAAAAAATATATAATTTGAGAATGACCAACTTGACTACAGCCTCTGCTTAAGTCACGTGACTCTGCCTCATGACACAATGCACGGTTTGTTCTCTATTACTTATACGAATAACAGGAACAATGCCTCCACGGTGATGAGTTGGCTGTGAAGTTTTTAAAGTTCCTTTAACAAGACACCCGAATGTGTGGGAATGTGTGGGTGGGGTTGGTGTGGGCGAGTGGTTGTAGCCTCCCGTTTTATTTCTACCCCCTCCCCTCCCTCAACCATCTTCCTCACGTTTCCCCCAAATCCCATAAGGGCCGTAACTCTATTAGACCGCTATTAGCAGAATTGACATGCTCATTTTGAGAGCGCAAGTTTCCCGCGTTCACGGCCAAAAATCACGTCGGGCCGCGAGAATCTCACGATGACGTCACTATAGTTTATGGCTTCTCCAGTTTAGCTCACGCCCCCCTCCCGCCCCCAACCCCCCCCCTACGGGGTCATATCCTACAGAAAGGAGAAAGAAAAAAATCCCTGTTATAGTGGTCATCATCATCCCCATTAAAAAAAATATTTTAACCTTTAAAAGAATCTTGAAATTGCCCTATGACATTCATTCCTCTCGAATCGACCCGAAATTTCCGTTCAACTTATTCCAAAATTCATGATCAACTTATTCCAAAGCTACCAGTCAACTTATTCCAAAGTTACCATTCAACTTATTCCAAAGTTAGTGTTCAACTTATTCCAAAGTTAGTGTTCAATTTGTCCAATAGTTCCTGCTCAACCTATTCCAAAGTTACTGTTCAACTTGTCCAATAGTTCCTGCTCAACCTATTCCATAATTAAACTCAACTTATTCCAAAGTTCTCATTCAAATTATCCAAAAACTGCCAATCAACTTATCACAATAAAGACGTTCAATTTATCCCATTTACCAGTTAGATCTGTTGTAGTAATGCACCACTTTTAATCAGTGTCAGTCAGACCTTACATTTAGTAGGCCTACAATTTTTTTTACATCTTTTGAAATAAAATTGAGATTCTTTTTAATAGGCCTATAGTTTAACGCAATAGTTTTACTATTTTTTTCTCAGGGAGGGGGGCACTTGACTTTCTCAGGGGCACTTCGCCCACACCACACCCAGCCCGAAGAGATGCCCAAAAGAAACACTGCTTATGTTCACTAATAATCTTTTGGGATCCCGTTTGAGAAACCATAGTCACCACTGTAAGGAATTAATGTAACCATAGTCACCACTGTAAGGAATCTATTTAACCATAGTCACCACTGTAAAGAATCAATGTAACCATAGTCACCACTGTAAGGAATTAATGTAACCATAGTCACCACTGTAAGGAATTAATGTAACCATAGTCACCACTGTAAGGAATTAATGTAACCATAGTCACCACTGTAAGGAATTAATGTAACCATAGTNACTGTAAGGAATCTATTTAACCATAGTCACCACTGTAAGGAATCTATTTAACCATAGTCACCACTGTAAGGAATCTATTTAACCATAGTCACCACTGTAAGGAATCTATTTAACCATAGTCACCACTGTAAGGAATCTATTTAACCATAGTCACCACTGTAAGGAATCTATTTAACCATAGTCACCACTGTAAGGAATCTATTTAACCATAGTCACCACTGTAAGGAATCTATTTAACCATAGTCACCACTGTAAGGAATCTATTTAACCATAGTCACCACTGTAAGGAATCTATTTAACCATAGTCACCACTGTAAGGAATCTATTTAACCATAGTCACCACTGTAAGGAATCTATTTAACCATAGTCACCACTGTAAGGAATCTATTTAACCATAGTCACCACTGTAAGGAATCTATTTAACCATAGTCACCACTGTAAGGAATCTATTTAACCATAGTCACCACTGTAAGGAATCTATTTAACCATAGTCACCACTGTAAGGAATCTATTTAACCATAGTCACCACTGTAAGGAATCTATTTAACCATAGTCACCACTGTAAGGAATCTATTTAACCATAGTCACCACTGTAAGGAATCTATTTAACCATAGTCACCACTGTAAGGAATCTATTTAACCATAGTCACCACTGTAAGGAATCTATTTAACCATAGTCACCACTGTAAGGAATCTATTTAACCATAGTCACCACTGTAAGGAATCTATTTAACCATAGTCACCACTGTAAGGAATCTATTTAACCATAGTCACCACTGTAAGGAATCTATTTAACCATAGTCACCACTGTAAGGAATCTATTTAACCATAGTCACCACTGTAAGGAATCTATTTAACCATAGTCACCACTGTAAGGAATCTATTTAACCATAGTCACCACTGTAAGGAATCTATTTAACCATAGTCACCACTGTAAGGAATCTATTTAACCATAGTCACCACTGTAAGGAATCTATTTAACCATAGTCACCACTGTAAGGAATCTATTTAACCATAGTCACCACTGTAAGGAATCTATTTAACCATAGTCACCACTGTAAGGAATCTATTTAACCATAGTCACCACTGTAAGGAATCTATTTAACCATAGTCACCACTGTAAGGAATCTATTTAACCATAGTCACCACTGTAAGGAATCTATTTAACCATAGTCACCACTGTTAGGAATCTATTTAACCATAGTCACCACTGTAAGGAATCTATTTAACCATAGTCACCACTGTAAGGAATCTATTTAACCATAGTCACCACTGTTAGGAATCTATTTAACCATAGTCACCACTGTAAGGAATTAATGTAACCATAGTCACCACTGTAAGGAATTAATGTAACCATAGTCACCACTGTAAGGAATCTATTTAACCATAGTCACCACTGTTAGGAATCTATTTAACCATAGTCACCACTGTAAGGAATCTATTTAACCATAGTCACCACTGTTAGGAATCTATTTAACCATAGTCACCACTGTTAGGAATCTATTTAACCATAGTCACCACTGTAAGGAATCTATTTAACCATAGTCACCACTGTAAGGAATCTATTTAACCATAGTCACCACTGTTAGGAATCTATTTAACCATAGTCACCACTGTTAGGAATCTATTTAACCATAGTCACCACTGTTAGGAATCTATTTAACCATAGTCACCACTGTTAGGAATCTATTTAACCATAGTCACCACTGTTAGGAATCTATTTAACCATAGTCACCACTGTTAGGAATCTATTTAACCATAGTCACCACTGTTAGGAATCTATTTAACCATAGTCACCACTGTTAGGAATCTATTTAACCATAGTCACCACTGTTAGGAATCTATTTAACCATAGTCACCACTGTTAGGAATCTATTTAACCATAGTCACCACTGTAAGGAATCTATTTAACCATAGTCACCACTGTAAGGAATCTATTTAACCATAGTCACCACTGTAAGGAATCTATTTAACCATAGTCACCACTGTAAGGAATCTATTTAACCATAGTCACCACTGTAAGGAATCTATTTAACCATAGTCACCACTGTAAGGAATCTATTTAACCATAGTCACCACTGTAAGGAATCTATTTAACCATAGTCACCACTGTAAGGAATCTATTTAACCATAGTCACCACTGTAAGGAATCTATTTAACCATAGTCACCACTGTAAGGAATCTATTTAACCATAGTCACCACTGTAAGGAATCTATTTAACCATAGTCACCACTGTAAGGAATCTATTTAACCATAGTCACCACTGTAAGGAATCTATGTATTTTTTGTGGCAATTGTGATGCTTTTTTGTTTTGTTTACATGTAACTACAATTAATCCACCATTAGGTCATTGAAATTTCAGATTTCAGATTCAATAAAACTAAAACACACTTTGATCACGATCTCTTCGTAGTTCCAAGTGTATTCAGGATACATTTTCGAAACTCAAGTAGGAAAATAAACTAGGGAATGAAGGATTACTGGTAAGCATAGATTTGATCCTTTTCAGTGTTGACATGAGTAGAATCCTGAGCAACGGTAGACACACGCGCGAGCAATCAATGTGCTTATCTTTCTACACGAATCAAATCTTAGCACAAGGAAGGCCACATGTTATTATGAGACTTGATTTTGGACACAACACAGAAACATTTAGAGTGTATGACCAAAACAGAGTTAACTTTGTTGACAGTTGTGCTAATGCTTTCAGTCACTGTTACACAATAATCCTTCTTGACCTTTGTGCTAAAGCTTTCAGTCACTGTTACAAAATAATCCTTCCTTAATTAAATTACCTTTTTTATCGCATAGCGAATGTTGATGTGCTCCTTCATGACTAACCCATCCTAGATAACTTTGCCCAAATGAATAACTTTAAATAGGACAACATAGAAAGCGCGTTAATAAAAGAACCTGTAAAACTAATACTTTTATAATTATCCTATCATCATGCAAGTTTGGCTGTTTCATGGCCAAGTGTGGCTGTTTTATGGCCAATTATGGCTGTTTCATGGCCAATTATGGATGTTTCATGGCCAAATGTGGCTGTTTCATGGCCAAGTGTGGCTGTTTCATGGCCAAATGTGACTGTTTCATGGCCAAGTGTGGCTGTTTCATGGCCAAATGTGGCTGTTTCATGGCCAAATGTGGCTGTTTCATGGCCAAGTGTGGCTGTTTCATGGCCAAGTGTGGCTGTTTCATGGCACAGGGTCTTCATGAAAAATCTAAAATGAAAAAATAACAAAAACCACTCAATTGTTAAATCATTTTTATTTGAAAACCACAGGTATGTAGCACTAGGGCAAAAACGTCTACACTCTGGAATGTTATTCAATAGAGAGGAGTGTGTGGGCCGGGCAGGGAGACATTGGTTTGAGTCTGATATTAGTGTGTGATTGAGACTTGGTCATTCTGTAGGGTACTGTGAAGGAGACTTATTTCATTATTGTATAGAGTAGTGTGTGGTGAATTCCCATTCTTACATCTGCACACTTAAACTCACTCCCTCCTCCAGCTAAATGATCTATGACAACTGCCAACACATCACTTGTAAGTACTAGAACATTATTTTTAAGTATTATCATATCATTTGTAAGTACTAGCACATCATTTGTAAGTTCCAAAAGCATTTTTTGAGTGGTAAAACATCATATATATGTATAAGAAATCACAATTTAATACACAGCCAAGTTAAAACTATTTGATTATTTAAGAAAATTATGTGTAAAAATAAAACTAAAAACTAGAAATAAGGAACAAAACAAACATTACTGGGTACAAAGTTCAAACTTGCAATAACCTGAAATAGTTGGAACCAAATTCACCAGTTGGTTAGATTTTAAAAAAAACCCACAAAGCATGCCAGTTGGGCATGTCAGTTGGGCATGTCAGTTGGGCATGTCAGTTGGGCATGTCAGTTGGGCATGTCAGTTGGGCATGTCAGTTGGGCATGCCAGTTGGGCATGTCAGTTGGGCATGTCAGTTGGGCATGTCAGTTGGGCATGTCAAATACATAATTTTAATTTTTGTATCAAAAAAGTTTTTTAAAAAGCTTTGTCAGTGCATGAAAATATTTTTCCCACACATTAAAAAAAAGGCAAATACTCTAACATCCCTGATATAAATATTAACCATACAACAACACATAATATGATGTCATATTTAAATCCTAGTCACATCCAAGGAGTAGTCATTATTCTCTATTCTAAACACTGCTATTTTTTATTTTTTTATACATTTAACACATTTTTATTTTCAAAAATTAACTTTATTTTTGTTTCCCCCAGAAAGTTGAACTTCTTATATTAACTTACAAGAAAATAAATGACAATTATGAATCCTTTACAACAATGGAGAAAAAAAATTAATTTGTCAAATGGGATATATCTTCTGCCCTTGGTCCCTATGGCCCTGTTTAAAAAAAAAGGAATTTTCATGTTTAAAGTCAATCCTATAAAATTCATTAAATTACAATTATCCTGTCTAAAATAAAAAATTCTCAAATCTAGGCCATCATTTGGTCTATTTAGTTGTCAGAAGATTCAGACTTTATAAATAAGACAGATAAAGATATCTTGGGTTATTGCACTGCCGATGTAGTACTAGATGTATGGACTCTAGGGACAAAGTTGATCCACTGTCATGTTCAAAAAGAATAAAATACTTGTCTTGATTGGTTGATAAGTGACATTACAACTTGGAAGCTTGTCTCTTCGTTGGAGGAGTGATGGCTTCTTCCCAGTAGGCAGCCCTCTCAAGGGCTTTACTACCTTGCAACATGGCACCGTAAAGATTTTTGTAAATCTGAAATGCAAAAGTCTACATCTTAAGAATAGAAAGAAATTATAGCTAACTAAACTTAACAAATGTTTAAATAGGCTTATAGAATAATAAAATAATCTCATATAGAAGAGTCCTTCTGCATGTCAACGCAATGTTCTGTCCTAAAAATACCCTCTGTGTGTAACAGATCACCGCTGACCATAACACATCACCTCTGTGTGTAACACATCACCTCTGTGTGTAATACATCACCTCTGTGTGTAACACATCACCTCAGTGTGTAACACATCACCTCTGTGTGTAACACATCACCTCTATGTGTAAAACATCACCACTGTGTGCTAAAGAATCGTCTTATTGTATTTATTCATCACATAAAATGTTACACAATATCATTTCCAATTAGAAGTTGAAAAGATTTAATATATTCCTTTTAAAAAAATTAACGAAGGAAACATGACAGTTATGACATTCTAACCTGTCCATCAGAACAGCCAATGGGAGAGTTAAGGATGAAATCAGGAGGAGCAATGGCATCTACAAGGGAGACTGCATCAGGTTTCAGCTGAAGACACAGTTGCAAGATGGCTTCTCTTATCAGCCTTGGTGGATCACCTCCACTCAAATAGCCACCTGTACATTCATTAGTTTAAAAATTTTATAGTATCTATGTGTGTTTTAAATATTCATACACATTCTCTATGTGTGTACCACATTATGTATGTGCATAACATACTAAATAAACTATTTAATTGTACTCATCCAAGCTGTCTATGTGTGTGTATTGTATTCATCCGAGCTGTCTATGTGTGTGTATTGTATTCATCCAAGCTGTCTATGTGTGTGTATTGTATTCATCCAAGCTGTCTATGTGTGTGTGATGCATTCATCCAAGCTGTCTATGTGTGTGTATTGCATTCATCCAAGCTTTCTATGTGTTTGTTTTGCATTCATCCAAGCTCTCTGTGTTTGTATTGCATTCATCCAAGCTGTCTATGTATTTGTATTGCATTCATCCATGCTGTCTATGTGTGTGTATTGCATTCATCCAAGCTTTCTATGTGTTTGTTTTGCATTCATCCAAGCTCTCTGTGTTTGTATTGCATTCATCCAAGCTGTCTATGTATTTGTATTGCATTCATCCATGCTGTCTATGTGTGTGTATTGTATTCATCCAAGCTGTCTATGTATTTGTATTGCATTCATCCAAGCTCTCTGTGTTTGTATTGTATTCATCCAAGCTCTCTGTGTTTGTATTGCATTCATCCAAGCTGTCTATGTATTTGTAATGCATTCATCCAAGCTCTCTGTGTTTGTATTGCATTCATCCAAGCTGTCTATGTGTTTGTATTGCATTCATCCAAGCTGTCTGTGTGTGTATTGTATTCATCCAAGCTGTCTATGTGTGTGTCTTGTATTCATCCAAGCTGTCTATGTGTGTGTATTGTATTCATCCAAGCTGTCTATGTGTGTGTATTGTATTCATCCAAGCTGTCTATGTGTTTGTATTGCATTCATCCAAGCTCTCTGTGTTTGCATTGCATTCATCCAAGCTGTCTATGTATTTGTATTGCATTCATCCAAGCTCTCTGTGTTTGTATTGCATTCATCCAAGCTGTCTATGTGTTTGTATTGTATTCATCCAAGCTGTCTATGTGTGTGTATTGTATTCATCCATACTATTGGTGAAAGATTGCAAGTCTTGTACCATAAAAGAAGCATTAAAGCATGCAGATGATGAGCACAATGACTATCACTAAATAAATTAACACATAGTCCAAACAATATTTTCTTGGAACTGACTAGAGAGTTAGAAAAGGTGCTAATGAGAAAAATAGTCAAACTATTCCTACAGTAGTCAAACTATTCCTAAAATAGTCAAACTATTCCTAAAATAGTCAAACTATTCCTACAGTAGTCAAACTATTCCTAAAATAGTCAAACTATTCCTACAGTAGTCAAACTATTCCTAAAATAGTCAAACTATTCCTAAAATAGTCAAACTATTCCTAAAATAGTCAAACTATTCCTAAAATAGTCAAACTATTCCTAAAATAGTCAAACTATTCCTACAATAGTCAAACTATTCCTAAAATAGTCAAACTATTCCTAAAATAGTCAAACTATTCCTAAAATAGTCAAACTATTCCTAAAATAGTCAAACTATTCCTAAAATAGTCAAACTATTCCTAAAATAGTCAAACTATTCCTAAAATAGTCAAACTATTCCTAAAATAGTCAAACTATTCCTAAAATAGTCAAACTATTCCTAAAATAGTCAAACTATTCCTAAAATAGTCAAACTATTCCTAAAATAGTCAAACTATTCCTAAAATAGTCAAGATCTTCCTACCTGACATTCATCCAAGCTCTCTTTCTGTGTTTTTGTAAACAAAAACCTACATATATATATGTCTACCTACCCTGGTACAGTGTACACATATCTATGTCTTCCTACCCTGGAGAGTGTACACATATCTGTGTCTTCCTACCCTGGTACACTGTACACATATCTGTCTTCCTACCCTGGTACAGTGTACACATATATGTCTTTCTACCCAGGTACAGTGTACACATATCTATGTCTTCCTACCCTGGTACAGTGTACACATATGTCTACCTACCCTGGTACAGTGTACACATATCTATGTCTTCCTACCCTGGAGAGTGTACACATATCTGTGTCTTCCTACCCTGGTACAGTGTACACATATCTATGTCTTCCTACCGTGGAACAATGTACGCATATGTCTTCCTACACAGGTACAGTGTACACATATCTATGTCTTCCTACACAGGTACAGTGTACACATATCTATGTCTTCCTACCCTGGTACAGTGTGGTAAGATGCTTCTCGATGCTCCACAGGCCATACAATGCACACAGTCTCGACAACACAGTTCTCAGAGTGGTTGGAGTGGGTTCATCATTCTTCTCATCCAGCGCCTTCACAAACCTCTCAAGTACTGAATGCTGTACATACAATGATAAATCTTACAAACTACTCTGATGTACTGAATGCTGTACATACAATTATAAATCTTACAAACTACTCTGATGTACTGAATGCTGTACATACAATTATAAATCTTACAAACTACTCTGATGTACTGAATGCTGTACATACAATTATAAATCTTACAAACTACTCTGATGTACTGAATGTTGTACATACAATTATAAATCTTACAAACTACTCTGATGTACTGAATGCTGTACATACAATTATAAATCTTACAAACTACTCAGATGTACTGAATGCTGTACATACAATTATAAATCTTACAAACTACTCTGATGTACTGAATGCTGTACATACAATTATAAATCTTACAAACTACTCAGATGTACTAAATGCTGTACATACAATTATAAATCTTACAAACTACTCTGATGTACTGAATGCTGTACATACAATTATAAATCTTACAATCAGAAGCACATAATTGAGAAATTGTCTCCAAAGAACAATATTCAAATCTAAAAGCTTGACACATTTGCACCATGACAGCTTGACACATCTGCACCATGACAGCCTGACACATTGCACCACGACAGCTTGACACATTTGCACCATGACAGCTTGACACATTTGCACCATGACAGTTTGACACATTTGCACCATGACAACTTGACACATTGCACCATGACAGCTTGACACATCTGCACCATGACAGCTTGACACATTTGCACCATGACAGCTTGACACATCTGCACCATGACAGCTTGACACATTGCACCACGACAGCTTGACACATTTGCACCATGACAGCTTGACACATTTGCACCATGACAGCTTGACACATTTGCACCATGACAGCTTGACACATTGCACCATTTCTGCTTGACCCATCTGCACCATGCCAGCTTGACACATTTGCACCATGACAGCTTGACACATTTGCACCATGACAGCTTGACACATTTCACCCTTTCTGCTTGACCCATCTGCACCATGCCAGCTTGACACATTTGCACCATGACAGCTTGACACATTTGCATCATGACAGCTTGATACATTTGCACCATGACAGCTTGACACATTTGCACCATGACAGCTTGACACATTGCACCATTTCTGCTTGACCCATCTGTACCATGCCAGCTTGACACATTTGTACCATGACAGCTTGACACATTTGCACCATGACAGCTTGAAACATTTGCACCATGACAGCTTGACACATTTGCACCATGACAGCTTGACACATTTGCACCATGACAGCTTGACACATCTGCACTATGACAGCCTGACACTTCTGCACTATGACAGCTTGACACATCTGCACTTTTACAGCTTGTTGTTATCATTAACTTGAATCCCTTCATTTATTCTGTGGCCCAATAGGTAGTACACTGATCACAGGCAAAATGTTGATTTTTGTGTTTCTCCTCGTTCAAGCTATACAAGCAGCCAGAGTCCCATCTCTCTCTCTCTTCTTATGAAATTATTTTCCAATGAGTTTGTGCCTATTAAATAACTCAAGCTTAATTGCAGTCCATCATCTTATACATCTGTATCTGTTTAATAGCATACACATGTCAAATAAAACATCTTACCTCATTAAAAGGTAACTTTGATAGCGTGCACTAGTCATCTAAAGCTTCTTACCTCAATGAAGGCTAATGACAAAGACCTGCAGTAGTACGCCTGGCTATCATTACGTGCAGTGAATGCATCTTTCCCTATGTGTTCAGACAGTCTTCTGTTGCTCTCCACCAATAAGTAGCAGACCAGCCATTTGTATGCATCTAGGGCCACTGTAACAGAGTGGTTTCAATGTGTCATCACAAGCAATGATAACTGGCGGATCATGAAGGGATGTATCATTAAGAGTAGATATCAAACATTAACTTTCATGTGTTCAAATGCATGGCTGTAACAGTGAGTATCTATCTCTGCAGCAGGTTGGTGAGGACAATGTTTTGATAGTAGAGAATAAATTCATGTGTTTCAACATTCTTAAATTCTAATTGTTATAGCAGACTAGCGGACTAGACCGTCCTGATAGCCAACTAGGTCAAACAACGCGCATGTGCAGAGACTGGAGTGAAAGTGTGTGAATGAAGAGTGTGTTCCGGAATCAAGCATAGAGTCAACATTATTGACAACTTGTATTTTATGTATATTTATGTCAATGTTTATTGTTGGCACTAAAAACATAGTAAACATGCAATTGGTGGCCAGTATCTACAACACAGCATAACTCAATTCAACCCAGTATTGACTGGTGTTAGACTGATACACACCAGGGACTTCACATAACTGAAGAGATATACACACAATGGTGGAGTCAAATCTGACCCAAATGGTCATCATTCAAAAGCTGAATCAGCACAATGATTTACTGTTAAAACTAGCAAAAGGGAATACGTCGAGTAATATGAAATTCGCATGTTTCAATAGTAATGAGCCAATTCACTGACTACTATGCTAGATATGTGACCTTTGTGTTAGAAAACAATGTACCAAAGGAAAAGTGAGCACACATTTTCTTAACAAGCCAAATGCCAGAACTCCATAAAACTGTTGTCAACGCTTGTATAACAAAGAGAGTCACCACAAAACATAAATGATTTAACCATGGAAGACGTATGTGGGGTAATGATGGATCAGTTTGATCCGACCAAATTTGTGATCAGGGAAAGATTCAAATTTTGGTCAGATCCGAGTAGAAAACCAGGGGAGACAATCATAGAATAGGCAGCTAGAATAAGACAGGAGGCAGCCAAAAGGAAATGTCTGCAAGTATAAAGACATGATCTGCCACTTTTGCCACAAGAGACGATATCTAGAAAGTGTATGTCTTAATAAGAAAGAGAATGCTCCAAAACAGAATTCGAAATTGACACCGGAGCATGAGAAAATTTTATGTCTGAATCTGTTTGGCGAAAGCTGGGACAACCAACCTTGAGCCCAGTATCTGTCAAGTACGAGTCAGCGTCTGGTGACTAACTTGATGTTTTGGGAGGTGTTCAGATAAATGCTGATGCAGGGGAAATATCTACAAATCTGTCATTTGTAGTAGTGCAAGATCACAACTTAAATTTGTTGGGCAGAACCGCAATAAAGAACCTCAAGATTTCGATAGACACACTTTCTCAAACAATGACAAATCACATTAGTAATCAAAATTCATTGAGTAAAGCTTGTGAACAAATCTGTAAAGAATTCCCTCAATTGTTTGAATCAGGTCTTGGGCTATTGAAACACTTTGAGCTAAAAATTAAGTTCAAGCCAAATGCACAACCAATTTATATGAAACCTAGAAATCTTCCATTTGCAGTAAAGACAGAGCTAGCAGAGGCTTATGAAGCTGGAATATCCTAGTCTGGCTAGCAGTACAGTTCAATCAATGGGGCACTCCCATAGTTCTAGTGAGAAAGAAGTCTTGCTCAGGAAAAAAGTCACAAATTAGGGTCTGTGGGGACTATGCAAAAACTGTAAATCAACAGTTAGAAACAACCAGGTACCCAATGCCATTACCAGAAGACCTCATGAGGAAGTTAGCAGGTAGACATTATTTCTCAAAAATAGACCTAGCTGATGCTTATAATCAGATCAAGCTGGCTAAAGAAACCCAAGAGAAATTGATATTAAGCACACATAGAGGTGTATTGCTGCAAACATGTTTACCATTTGGGATTACCTCAGCTCCTGCATATTTCCAAGAAATCATGGACAAACTTACGCAAGATTTGCCTGGAGTAGCAGTGTACATGGATGACATTCTAGTGAGTTGAAAGAATGAGGAAGACCATGTAATCAACCTTCATAGGTTATTATAGACTGAATGAAAATGGATTAAAGTGCAGGATGGAAAAATGCATTTTTGCCCAACAATCAATCAAATAATTAGGGCATAAATTATCAAGCAATGGCGTATCAAAAGGAGCCAAAGTAGATGCAGTTATATCAATGCCAGCACCCACAGATATTTCCAGTCTACGGTCATTTCTTGGTCAAGTGCAGTTTCACAACAAGTTCTTACCAGACCTATCAACTTTACTTGAGCCACTGTATTATTTAACTAAAAAGAACGTATCATGGAACCGGAAAACAGAACAAGAAGAAGCTTTTAGGAAAGTCCAGCAATTGCTTTCTTCTGATACAGTTCTAGCTCACTATGAGCCAACTCTAGACAATGATATAGACATAGCCTGTGACGTCTCTAATGTTGGCATAGGAAGTGTTCTGTTCCACAGATATCCTGATGGCAGAGAATGCCCTATTGCTAACATTTCAAAAACTCTCACAAAAACACAACACAAATATAGCCAGATTCAGAAGGAAGCAGCGTCAATTATTTTTGCACAATCAAAGTTCCATCAATATCTGTATGGAAGAAAATCTTTTTTAGTCACAGACCATTAACCACTGATAAGTATATTTGGTTCAGGAAAAGGAACAGCAGCACTGGCAGCAAATCGTTTAGCCAGATGGGCTCTTACATTGAGTCAATATGACTATATCATTGAATTCCGTATGTCAACTGAACATTGCAATGCGGATGCTCTTAGTCGTCTACCCTCAGGGCCAGATGAAATTTTTGATGGTGAAGAAAGTGAAGCAGACATGGATTCTGTATGCATGATCAAACAAATCAGTTTACAGATCAGACCAACAGACCAAGGAGTTCTTGCTAAAGAGTCACTTAAAGATTCTATTGCGTCTACGGTAATGAGATATTGTCAAGAGGGCTTGCCGTCCTCTACAAACAAAGCGCACTTGAACAACGATGCAGCTAACATTGCAGCATTTAAAAATATTCAAGACTCACTCTCCGTGGAGTTGAATTGTCTATTTTATGGTTCAAGAATTGTGGTACAAAAAATACTACAAGCTCAGGTTCTCCAAATCCTGCATACAGGACATTTTGGAATTGAGCGAATCAAACAGTTAGCCAGATCATCGGTATACTAGCCCTGGCTTGATGCTCAAATCATGGAGATAGGTCGAACATGCCAGGCATGTGCAGAACATGCCAGAGACCCAAACAAAGCAAGTATCCAACCATGGAGTCGAGTGCATATCGACCATTCCATTAACTTTAAGGGATCACATTGGCTGGTGATGATAGATACTTATTCAAAGTATCTGTGTATCCACAGGATAACATCTACATTGACCAAAGCCACCATTGATCTTCTGGAGGAAGAGTTTGCTAATTTCGGCTATCCACACACCAAAGTAAGTGATAATGCTACTTGCTTCATCTCGGAAGAATTTCAGGATTGGTGTAAAGAGAAGGGTATTGTACATCTCGCAGGCGCTCCCTATCATCCTGCTATGAATGGAGCTGCAGAACGACTGATTCAAAGTTTCAAGAGTTCACTAAAGAAATCATCATTAGCTTTAAAGGAATCTCTACATGACTTTCTGCGTCAGTATCATAGGACACCATTGGCTAGTGGATCATCACCTAGCCAACTGCTGAACAATCGGCAAATAAGAACACTTATTGATACTCTAGTTCTCTCTCCTGCTCATCGAGCACGGGGACAACATCTTAAAGATATAGCAGTCCGTAATGGGACAAATAGAAGTCCTCGTCAATCATTAAACAGGGGTGATCGATGTTACATCAGAATATATGGAACAACAACAGATTCTAAACCAGGATGGGCTCCCGGTACAATCATCCAAGTTATGGGTCCACGACTTTTCAAGGTGAAGATTTATCCGAATGGTCCCATATGAAAGAGACATTTAGACCAACTTCGCCCCAGGTACGGAGCAGAAGAAGATACAGAACCAGGTTTGGATATAATGACAGGAAGTCTTTATCCAACAGCTCAGGCAGCCCTGACAACATCAAAATGGGCCATGTAGGACATATCCTAATAAAACTAAATATTGCTAATATATATGTGACCAGATTGTTATGCTGACTAAAAGCCTTCATCCATCTGTAGGAGTTATTTTTATACAAGTTTTTCCAGAATCCTATTGGAGCATACAATAAAGTTATCCATGTTAATGGATACATGTCAAGTACTTTTTATTAAGAAAATACCCTGTGCCTGGTGTTGGTTGCCAACTGCCCTTGTCTGTTTTTCCCCCCCCCCCCCCAAAAAAAAATCACCAACACCCACTGTTAACTGTAATATATTCCACTGAGCTTTTTACCATTAGGGTTAAGGCAATCCTCAACAGTTTTGGCAGAGAATTGAGATTTCAGCCTATGTGGCAAGTCAGACAAAATGTTGACTGATCCCAGTGGGCTGGTGAGTGTTTCCCCTGAAAAATGTCAAAGCAAAACAAAGACAAAATTGACAGTAATGTGGAGCACTGTGCTTTCTAACATTGGGATACTACAGAGAGCTCTGTTCAACCTATTGTTACAGGATGTTACGTAGAACTGGACCAAATAGTTACAGGTAATTATCAGTTGGATCCATTGGATATATGGATATTATTAGACTTATTTCAGGATAATCAATTTACTTATATAGAAGAGCAAGAGTTTCCTAATATTTTACACAACTGTTTATATTATACAAGTAGCTGTCTCAATTTAATATCTACAAGGTGTCCATATATTGCCTGTGTGTCCCGACTTCTGTATAATCTATATATAGTTATCTAAATTATTAGAGTTATCATTGTAACCCAATCTACCTGAAAGAGCCTTTTCTACATATGACAGTAAATAGTTGCTTGTCTGCTGCAGAAGTACATTGTTGTCTCCCTCGTATGTGTTGTTGGGATCATGGTCATTACGTATATCACCCAAACGATTCACTAAAAGTATTACCAATTCAATAAATCAAAGTATTGTAATTTAATTCACAAAGAGTATTACAAATTCATCTGTTAAAAGTGTTACAAATTACATTTCCTATAAAAAAAAATACAAATTCATACACTAAAAGTGTTTTCATGAAATTAATTTGTTTTGATGTGTGTTGAGATTAAAAAATATCAACTACACATTACAACAAGCCTCAAATGTTCCTATTAACTCTAAAGCAAAATTAAACTTGTATTTCAAGGACGAGAAGCCGATAGGTTCATTTAAAGCATTTTTAGACTCAAATTGTGTTAGCCTGACTTATGTCTAGACCCGGTCTCACATGTTACCTGACCCCAATGCTACCACCTAGAACCTGACCTCATGCCAAAAACTTGACACCTGTAACTTGACCTCATGTCTACCACCTGTAACCTGACCCCATGCAACCATCTGTAACCTGACCACCTCATGTCTACCACCTGTAACCTGACCTCATGCCTAACAATCGGCACCTTTAACTTGACCCCATACAACCATCTGTAACCTGACCTCCTGTCTACCACTTGGCACCTATAACTTGACCCCATACTACCACCTGTAACCTGACTTCATGCCTAACACTTGGCACCTATAACTTGACCCCATACAACCATCTGTAACCTGACTTCATGCCTAACACTTGGCACCTATAACTTGACCCCATACTACCACCTGTAACCTGACTTCATGCCTAACAATTGGCGCCAATAACTTGACCCCATGCTACCACCTGTAACCTGACTTCATGCCAAACACTTGGCACCTATAACTTGACCCCATACTACCACCTGTAACCTGACCTCATGCCTAACACTTGGCACCTGTAGCTTGACTACATGCTGCCATCTGTAACCTGACCTCATGCCTACCACCTGACTTACCTTTAAAATACCCATGCCCTCCACAGGCTTCCCTGCACTCTTGGATAGCATCCCGAGCAATCCATCCTGCCAAAGGCTTACTAGCACAGGACAATGCATGAATTTCCTTGCCAAGGTCAGCCTGGTTTAGGAGGAAGGTCACAAATGACTTTTTGATGTTAAGACAAATGCTCAGTTGAACCCTGTACATAATTTTACCACTAAATAATGTTGCTTGTATAACCCGATGGTGCTATTATAAACAGATTAAATCTGATTGCATTTGTACCACCTGACTTTGCTGGCATCCATTGTGCTGGTATCAACTTTCTGTCCTGTAACTAACTGATCTGTGTAAACTGATTGTCCATATAAGCTGATTGTGCCATATATACTCATTATGTTTATATAAATTTTTCTGGCATAAACTGATTGTATTGTTTTAAACTGATTGTGTAGTATAAACTGATTGTGCCATATATGCTCATTTTGTTTGTATAAATTGTGCTGACATAAACTGATTGTGCAGTTTAGACTCATTGTGATGGCATGAACTGATTGCTTTGTTATAAATGATAAACTGACTGCGGTGTATAACCTGACTGCATCAGCTGCCTTACATGTTTCTGACTGTTATCTCCAACCATGGCTCCTATTCTCAGTATATACTCATTGTGATGGCATGAACTGATTGCTTTGTTATAAATGATAAACTGACTGTGGTGTATAACCTGACTGTATCAGCTGCCTTACATGTTTCTGACTGTTATCCCCAACCATGGCTCCTATTCTCAGCAGCACAAAGTCCATGAAGAAAGAGGTAGAGAATATATCCAAGGCATAAGTAGCTGCTAAATATGGGAAGAGACGCCATTGCTGTCAGATAACAATAAATAATGTCAACAACCTCATCTCTGTCAATAACCTCATCTCATTTTCATAACACAATATAATGTAGAGGGCAAATGGCAAAAAAAGTGTAGATTGATCCTCCTTTGTAACTGTGCAAATCTAAATAACTTTTATTATAAACTTCTAACTGATGTCAGTAACTCGCCCTTTGTAACTGCAAATCTAAATAACTTTTATTATAAACTTCTAACTGATGTCAGTAACATCCCCCTTTGTAACTGTACAAATCTAAAATAACTTTTATTATAAACTTCTAACTGATGTCAGTAACATCCCCCTTTGTAACTGTACAAATCTAAAATAACTTTTATTATAAACTTCTAACTGATGTCAGTAACATCCCCCTTTGTAACTGTACAAATCTAAATAACTTTTATTATAAACTTCTAACTGATGTCAGTAACATCCCCCTTTGTAACTGTACAAATCTAAAATAACTTTTATTATAAACTTCTAACTGATGTCAGTAACATCCCCTTTGTAACTGTACAAATCTAAATAACTTTTATTATAAACTTCTAACTGATGTCAGTAACATCCCCCTTTGTAACTGTACAAATCTAAATAACTTTTATTATAAACTTCTAACTGATGTCAGTAACATCCCCCTTTGTAACTGTACAAATCTAAAATAACTTTTATTATAAACTTCTAACTGATGTCAGTAACTCGCCCTTTGTAACTGTACAAATCTAAAATAACTTTTATTATAAACTTCTAACTGATGTCAGTAACATCCTCCTTTGTAACTGTACAAATCTAAATAACTTTTATTATAAACTTCTAACTGATGTCAGTAACATCCCCTTTGTAACTGTACAAATCTAAATAACTTTTATTATAAACTTCTAATTGAAGTCAGTAACTTAACAGTAAATGGAGAGCTTCTCAGTTCTATTTTCTTGTAATTATTCTGATGTTTGACGATCATCTTTGATGATGATCTGCACTTTAATGATGATCTGCATGCTAATAAATACTTAACAATTATCATTAACATAGTTACTCTAAAAAGAGAAAAGTAAATCTCGCAGTGGGAGGGATACAATGATATATTAATCTAATATTTATTCAACTTCCTAATTTTTTAAATTGCCAAGAAAACAAAAATAAATACCCTTTAATAATTAAACAAACACGTTTCAAAAACATTTATGAATATTTTGGTCAATTGGCTATCTGTACCTGAACAACCTAAATGTTAAAACAACAGCCAAGTAAAAGAATGTTTAGAAAATCCTAGTATACCATGGCCCTGCCAGTAGCCCCACCCCTTGACACCATTAGCCTAGGTCAAGTTACATCTGTTATCTTATAGCTCTGACATTCATCTATAATCTCTAACAACTGTGCCATGGAACATAACACAATAGCATCTTGTCACATATATGCATGAATTGGGATAACCCAATTGATTGAGTGACAATGAACAAATATGAATGGATTAGGTGACTTTGAACAAACATGATATGAGTGACAATGAACAAACATGAATGGATTAGGTGACTTTGAACAAACATGATATGAGTGACAATGAACATGAATGGATTAGGTGACTTTGAACAAACATGATATGAGTGACAATGAACAAACATGAATGGATTAGGTGACTTTGAACACACATGATATGAGTGACAATGAACAAACATGAATGGATTAGGTGACTTTGAACAAACATGATATGAGTGACGATGAACATGAATGGATTAGGTGACTTTGAACAAACATGATATGAGTGACAATGAACAAACATGAATGGATTAGGTGACTTTGAACACACATGATATGAGTGACAATGAACATGAATGGATTAGGTGACTTTGAACAAACATGATATGAGTGACAATGAACAAACATGAATGGATTAGGTGACTTTGAACACACATAATATGAGTGACAATGAACAAACATGAATGGATTAGGTGACTTTGAACACACATGATATGAGTGAAAATGAACATGAATGGATTAGGTGACTTTGAACAAACATGATATGAGTGACAATGAACAAACATGAATGGATTGGGTGACTTTGAACAAACATGATCTGAGTGACAATGAACATGAATGGATTAGGTGACTTTGAACAAACATGATATGAGTGACAATGAACAAACATGAATGGATTAGGTGACTTTGAACAAACATGATATGAGTGACAATGAACAAACATGAATGGATTAGGTGACTTTGAACACACATGATATGAGTGACAATGAACATGAATGGATTAGGTGACTTTGAACAAACATGATATGAGTGACAATGAACAAACATGAATGGATTAGGTGACTTTGAACACACATAATATGAGTGACAATGAACAAACATGAATGGATTAGGTGACTTTGAACACACATGATATGAGTGAAAATGAACATGAATGGATTAGGTGACTTTGAACAAACATGATATGAGTGACAATGAACAAACATGAATGGATTGGGTGACTTTGAACAAACATGATCTGAGTGACAATGAACATGAATGGATTAGGTGACTTTGAACAAACATGATATGAGTGACAATGAACAAACATGAATGGATTAGGTGACTTTGAACAAACATGATATGAGTGACAATGAACAAACATGAATGGATTGACTATTCATACGCACACTTACCTGCAGTTGATACTCAATGACAGCTATCTCTTCTTTCCCAGGCCCAAACTGGCGTCTCACTGCTGAATATCTAATGGCAATGGGCATGCAGAGCCTCAAGTTGGCCACACCCATTCCTGTAATACCAACTCTGCCCCCTGACAGTGCCCCAAGAGAAGCACCAAATCTCTTGTTGGGATCCTTTGAAAAGTTTATACATAAAATGATATAATTAAGTACATACACTGTACCCTGACAGTGCGCCAAAGAAGCACCAAAACTCTTGTTGGGATTCCAGTATATATTAATTGCACAATAAATTATACAATTTAATTACCATTCTACCCTGAAAGTGACCCATATTACCTTATATGGTGTAACATAGTGACCATCAGGGGTAACGTCACCAAATTTATCCAGAAGATTTTCTCTGGGTACCCTGAACTGATTGAAAGCCACAAAGCTGAAAATAGAGAAATCAGGCAGGACTTAAATCTGCCCTACTCCTAGGGTCAGTGAACCAGCAGACAAGCTGAGATAACAAACAAATATAGTCAGGTCTGGCAACATTGCCATGTTCCTGTTTGGGTCAAAAATTATCAACATGTCAAGGAAGTCTTTAAAGCCTTACAATATTAAGTTTATTCATCAAGTTTTTTATAAACCATTCATTGTCACTAACCAAGCCACCTACCCATTATCTAATCCATTGAGACCAATTTTTTCCCCCATGTCACTAACCAAGTCACTTACCCATTATCTAATCCATTGAGACCAATTTTTTCCCCCATGTCACTAACCAAGTCACCTACCCATTATCTAATCCATTGAGACCAATTTTTTCCCCCATGTCACTAACCAAGTCACTTACCCATTATCTAATCCATTGAGACTAATTTTTTCCCCCATGTCACTAACCAAGTCACCTACCCATTATCTAATCCATTGAGACCAATTTTTTCCCCCATGTCACTAACCAAGTCACTTACCCATTATCAAATCCATTGAGACCAATTTTTTCCCCCATGTCACTAACCAAGTCACTTACCCATTATCTAATCCATTGAGACCAATTTTTTCCCCCATGTCACTAACCAAGTCACTTAACCATTATCTAATCCATTGAGACCAATTTTTTCCCCCATGTCACCAACCAAGTCACCTACCCATTATCTAATCCATTGAGACCAATTTTTTCCCCCATGTCACCAACCAAGTCACCTACCCATTATCTAATCCATTGAGACCAATTTTTTCCCCCATGTCACCAACTAAAACCCCAGGCAGGGCAAAAAGTGTTCTGGGATCTCTGATAGGAACAACAAAGGAATGCAGGCCGTGGCAGGTGCCATCTTCTGTGTAGAGCTGGGCGTACAGGATGCCATGTGTTGCCTGCTTGCCCAAGTTGCCCACCCAAATTTTTGTAGCTTCGAAGTCTGGTGTATTGATGACAAATTCCTACAGAAAGTATTCAAAAGACAGTAATGGACATTAAGAGTATACAATAATCAGTAACTGATTTAGAGAGAATGCGATAGATAGTAATGGGCATAAAGAGTTTAAAATAGACAGTAAAGGATGTAGAGTATACAATAGACACTAATGGACAAAGAGAGTATACAATAGACACTAATGGACAAAGAGGGTATGCAATAGACACTAATGGACAAAGAGGGTATGCAATAGACACTAATGGACAAAGAGGGAATGCAATAGACACTAATGGACAAAGAGAGTATACAATAGACACTAATGGACAAAGAGGGTATGCAATAGAACTAATGGACAAAGAGGATATGCAATGGACAAAGAGGGTATGTAATAGACACTAATGGACAAAGAGGGTATACAACAGACTTCAATGGGTGTAGAAAAAGCATAAGTGCAACTAATGGATGTGAAAAGTTTAAACCAGCAAATTATTGATATAGAAATTATCAATGAGTGAATAGAATATATCTAGTCAGTGACTCACACATGGAGAATGGAATATGGAGCTTGTCTAGGTGTCTAGTAAGTGAGTCTCACTAAAGGTACACAACAAGGAGGGTGTGTAAATGTCTCATTGAAAGTTCACAACATGGAGGGTGTCTAAGTGTCTCATTGAAAGTTCACAACATGGAGGGTGTCTAAGTGTCTCATTGAAAGTTCACAACATGGAGGGTGTCTGTCTAACGCTAAAGGTGAAATGAAAGTTTACCTTAGTCTTGGAGTCATAGGTGGCAGTGGTTCTCATATTCTTGGTATTGCTGCCATGGCTTAACTCAGTGAGAATGAAGCATCCAAAGTTCTGTTAGTTGAATGTAGTGAGTAATTTAGAAATGGTAATGAGAGATTAAAGCTAGCTTGTAATGAGTAGATAGGGTTAGAGATTGTAGTGAGAAGATAGGGTTAGAGATTGTAGTGAGAAGATAGGGTTAGAGATTGTAATGAGAAGATAGGGTTAGAGATTGTAATGAGGTTGTTAAAGAATGTTTCATTTCTTGCATTGCTTGATATTAATATGCAAGTTTTTAGTGTCATCATGGTTGGTATTGTGGCATACTGACTGAAACTTAAATGATGCTTGTTACCTTAACTGATTTGAATGATTTGGTTGCCTCACCTGATGTGAATGATTTTGCTCTACAATCTCAGAATGACGTTTAGAGCCCATGTTACGTACAGAGCCAGCAAACATCTAAAAAAAAAAATATTATTTGTTATATATTATGATGATGTAATCTATGAAGCACATTTCAAATGAAATAAATACGATCTTTATTTGAAATTCTTGAATTATGTGATTATTTGAAAGAAATTTGAAATATCTTGAAATAAAACTTGACATGTTCTTCTTCTGTCCGTTTTAAACATCAAGGAAGATATAGTTCATGGACTGCAGCAAGGTGTAAGGCCTGCTGGTAGTTCTTGTTTTGGACTTTAAAGATGTCCTTAACACATTCCCTGACTCTGTGTCTTCCTTGGCCCTGAGTGCCTGCTACTGTATGCTTGCAATGCAGGATGGTTAACCCTCGAACTGTGGCATGCATCATTCTGTGGTGAGGAGCTTTTCAGAGCTTTTTGAGTGCCTTTTGAAATTGCATTAAATGACATAGAAATATTGATACAAGACCCCCAATAATTTATATTTTTAGAAAAGTAAATGGATGGGGATAAAGTTGGCTATATTGCCCACCCCGTTAAAAAAATTTTGCTCAGTGTCCTTGACCTTGGAATGCTCAAGAAAATTAAAATCGAAAAATGTCTTGCTTTCAAGTGCACATAACATCATTCATTTTTATAGATACACTTAAAACACAAATCTAAATGTTGTAGCAAATACATTTATCTTTCAGAAAATGTATAGTTTGCTAAGGTTTTGATTGCAATTAAACATCTGAAAGCAATTTTAGTAATTTTAGGTCATTAATATAAGAAACTGGGACCACAGCTAAAACCAAATACAAAATACAAAATCTCAGGCAAAATAGTTATTATTGACTATTAAACATTTAAAAAGGAACTGTGGAACTGATTTGGGTTGTTAAACTATAAAATTTATTAGTTCTGATTTATAATATGTAGCTTCTGTGACTAAAATTCAGTCAGTCCTTGCCCAACCTCCGGTTCTGGCTCAAAGTCAAACAGTAGCCTCATTAGGCCTACTCAGTATCACTAGGACTAGTATCAGATTCACGAAAAGAAGAATCTGAAGTGAGATATCATGGGGAATTATAAAATCATCATCAGTATCACTTAAATCCTCTCCTAGAAAGCTTTAAAAAATATTTCTATTATTTCTCGCACTGAAGGCCCAGCCATGGCTTCCGCCATTTTTGCTTCTAAAAAACAGTGATATAAAATTCCAATTAAAAAGTACTTATTGTTCAGTTATCAAGAAACAGCTTGACCCGGAAGATGATTTAATTATTAATAAAAGGAAGTGGCTATGATTTCGGTTAAATATTGAATTGGAAGTTGCTATTGGACCGTGTTTTTTTATCGGCCGCCACAGCACAGAACGAGAATATGGGCTGATTTCATCGGCCGACCACAGTTCGAGGGTTAATAGGCATTACAAGCAGGTGTCCGGCAAAACCCATTAATTTGTTGCTGGGCTGATTGGGACAGCACCATCCATTTATCTTATTTCCTGGTTCCGTATGTTTCCTTCTTGTTTTATCAGGTGCTTGCCTCATACATATCATTTCCTAAGTGAATATTTTTCTCTTTAGAATTTTATTCAAGATTTGACAGATTTGACACTGGCAAGGATTGGAATAAAGACAGCATAAATCAGCCTGATTTTGATCTCCATCATTTATTCTTTGTCTTGGTAGCGAGTAAATTTTATCCCTTCTTTAAAACCTCAACTATGAGACTAATTAATTGTTGTCTCTTCCAATGGCATTTAAAACATAACAATCAATGGCATATAAAACATAACAATCAATGGCATATAATTATAAAACAACAATTTTGCCCCACTTCCGAAACTGTAACTACAAAAAATGGTAAATAAAATTACCTCTATATTAAGATTTAATTTTGCAGACACTGTCCAGTCGTACATGCCGAGGGCTTCTGTGAATGCCTTGTACTTAAGAGGGTTTTCAAACAGCTCTTCCTCTGGTAAAAAGTTGTATGCAGCAACATGCTGGGTGCGACGAAATGTCAGCTCCCTCTGTTTATCCAGTGATGGGGTCTCAAACCCTTTAGAAAAGACGGGGTCATTTTCAAGAGTATGGAATATTTTGTACTGGGGATAAAAGTTTAAAAAGCACCTTTTTTATTCCACTTTTAAATACAGATGAGAATAAATTCTGATTCAAGTCAAGTAGTTTACAAAATATAAAAAAACAATTTAGTTTCATATTTTAATGCACATGACCAAGCTGCAGTGTTATGCAAACCACGTGTTTACGTCATCTTTCCCAGTGAATGAGCTCTAGCTGACCCCAAGCTCAGAACCGCATTTTAGGGTGTGGCTAAATAAATATAGTCTCTTTGATCTGGTTTACAACTAAATAAAATTTAGTGTTGATGATCATCTTAAATCTCAAAATGTTCTTCCCATTCACGTGTTGATAATCACCTTAAATCTAAGAATGTCCTCGCCTTCAAGGAATAGAGCCATCTGCTTCCAGCTAAATGAAGCCTCATGTCTGTAGGGATCTAGAGGTCCAGGAGGGAAATCTTTTAGAAAACTGAGACTGCAAGTCTCATCAGGTTTAGCAGTTGATTTATCCGTGGATGTAGTAGTTGTCATATCTATGAGACTTGATGCCACAAGAAGATGAACTTAAAAAAAAAATTTTTAACTCTTAAGTAACAATATAATATATAATATTTTTAGATAATCTTATTTTTTTAATTTAAAACACTAAAAAAAAATATTGGGATGTTTTAAATAAAAACAAAGTTTACAGCATTAATGAAAGTAATATTTACATTTTTATACATAAATTATAAATTAGATTTTTTAAATAGGCCCTACTATATCAAATATACTGAGAAATATATTTGCCTAGGTCTGCAAAAATTTTTTTTTTGTAAATACAAACTCAAAAAAGTTAAAATAACACAAATTAAGGCTTAATTTAAAACTTTTGTTTATCACATTAGGGCCTATTAGTTTTTAAGAATGATCTCTAACAAAAATTTAAAAATAATTACGACAAACTAATGTTTTTATAAACTTTTTGGAATTATTGATTGGTATGACTATGAGTATGGGTCAGTAAATAATAGGAACTTTGATGAAAATTTCAAAACATTGTTACAAATATATAAATAATATAGTTGTATTTGTATGTAGGCTAGCGAATGGTTTACAAAAAAACAAAAAAAAACAGGATCAACATTCTAGCTCTAGTGGTTCAAAAGTTATGAATTTTTTTAGCAAGGACCTCAATACAACTTTTTCACTATGGAGTTTTCCTCCACATTTCATGACCCTTATTTAGCTTTTGTTTTTACGTCTAAAACTTTATTCTAAAATGAGACAAAACATAATGGTTACAGGGAATGGAGTAAAATATAATTTTAGCTACTGGTATTGTTAATATTCTTCAAATTTAAATTTAAAAAAAATCTTTATAAGTTTCCTTATTAATATATAAATTATATATTTCCCATATACTATATGAATATGACAAAAAATTAGTATGTCACTAGTCACTAATTTTAAATGAGTTCACAAATCAACATACATTGTTAGAATCAAAGACTCAATGAATAAGTAGAGTTAGTATTGTTTTTACCTTCAATTTAATGTGAAGATCATAAATTCTTTTTATAAAAAAAGTGTCTAATGGTAAAACAATATATTATGTCTACTCTAATGTCTCTAAGATATGGGCATGGTTGGAAATAGAATGTGCATGATAGTGATAGTCTATAATTAGGAAAGAAATCCTAAACAACCAGAGTCTCTGTAAATTAAAAAGTGGAAGTTGCAATTCGGATAATGAAATCATGATACCCAGTTTTCTGCATTTCCCGGGTGATACTAAAGTGCCTAGTCTTAGTATATAACTTTATAACATTTATCATAATTAGATAATTCATAGTTCCTGATGCACTTCTTCTGCAGTTAAAAGTTAAGTTATTGCAATTAATTAGTAACAGTTAATAGGCACTTTCACTTACTCCTCTGCCGACACGCGTATAGTGTCCGTTCCCAAGACACACTAAAACATATGGTGAACGATCTTTCTCTTTCTGTGCCCCCAAACAATGGAATTCTTTGCTACTACTACTACACATATGCAATATACCAACCGGTCCAACTACCCAGACCCAGGCCTTCAAAACTGCACTCAAAACACATCTTTTTAAATTATACTACCCTGAGTGAACTGAGTGATTCCCCTCCTCTGACCGATAAACGAACTTGCTGGCTGCCTTGTAAAAGTTATGAGCTGGGGTTGGTGAAAATACATTTTTTTTTTGCTGTTCCTTATTTCAAATGTATTTTATTTTAATTGTCATGATTATGTCTCTTTTGATAAAATTTTTATGTACAGTGCGGTGAGCCCAGCCCTAGGCGCTATATAAGACCCTTTATTATTATTATTATTAATACACTGACTTATAGATAACACATTTTACTCAGTTACAGTTACAGCTCAGTACAGTGTACAGACTTTGATGACTGAGAGTCGAGAGACATTCTGAATAAAACCGAATATACTCGGTAAAGCCATTCACTATTTTTTAATACACGGTAATAATATTCCAGAGCACTGCTCAAAATCAGAAATAGACTTTAAAAATCGATTCTATTTTTATTTAAACAACTAAAAAAGGAGGTTTGTGTCCTGTAGTAAAAAAAAAAAAATAATAATAATAATTTAGGCCTACCGATGGCGTATAAAGCTCTACAGTACCGTAGTCAACAGATTCAATGAAAGTTTATCTCCCCCGTGACTAAAATCATTAGTATTTTCTTAGCACACAAGAGTAAAAAGGGAGGTGATTTTCAATTGTAAATTTTTCCACTTAATTTTAATTTTGTTATTTTAAATTGATACGGTTCATACGTAATGATCTGGTTAGGATTTATATTTTTAAAATATATATACATATTTAAAAAATCTTTTACAACAAGACTTTGTTTCAAAGACGAATTCAAGCGCACTAAGAAGTAGAAAATAATTTTCCTAAAATTTCTTGAAATTCATTACGCAAAGTCAAAGAGAGCAAGTGTAGAAAGGTAGTACTGTACCACTGTAGGCACTCTATGAAGCTAAATGATTTCTAATTTAACGTAGACGAAATTTAAATATATTTTGTTTTAACTTATTTTTGAAAATATTGTTTGCACAGACTTTTTTTTTTCGCAATTAATTTTTAGAAATTTATTTTTTTGTGCTTTTTAACGTTTTTAAAAATATATTATATTATATATTATATTTTCTACTATTCAGTATGAACATTTTCATCTGCAATTATAGGCCTACACATACAAAGATTTTTAAAGAAACAACAAAAAAAAAAAAAAGCAACGAATTTTATTTTTTTTTTATTTTTAACTTTTTTAAAAATATATTATATTATATATTATATTTTCTACTATTCAGTATGAACATTTTCATCTGCAATTATAGGCCTACACATACAAAGATTTTTAAAGAAACAACAAAAAAAAAAAAGCAACGAAAGTTTATAAAATAAAAGTAGAATGGGTTTTTTTTATAGTCAATTGTATACTAAACTTAAATCTTTTAAACAATCATCGGATATGATAATTTGATTTTGCTGAAAGGGGAAGAATTATTGAGCTTTGTAATTATTGCTAATTAATATTTTTAGTGAATAGTTGAAATTCTGAAAACTGAAATTCATAATTTGGCTTTACTTCTTTTAAAGATGATTTATTTTTATCAATTGTAACCCATGCAATCAGGGCCGGATTTAAACTTGCTGAAAAAAAACAAAAAAACAACAAACAAACAAATTCATTCCAGTGCAATAATAGTTTTAGAACATTATCAGAAATACGTTATAATTCATCCCAGATGATGATAAATTATCAGGTTCTCCATTTGATTACTTAGTCTTTCTGCCACACGCCTCGTTTGTCCTTTTCCTGATCAGTGTCAGCTGATACAGAGTCCAGAGTCAGCTGATACAGAGTCCAGAGTCAGCTGATACAGAGTCCAGAGCATCTTGCATTTTTTCGAAACGTTGACGGCATCAAAATGTGCCGACCATCTTGTATCAGACAGATGCTTTACGACAACGAGAGATTTTCCTAAGGAAGATACCAGAACATTCTATGGATGTGTGGAAGCTGAGAAAAAGCGCTGAACAAAGTCAAAGAATTGTCCAACTTGTAGACAACACTCTGCTGCTTTTAAGCCCACTAAGTTCAGGCTGTGTCCAGCACAGGGGGCATACACGGCAAACTCGATCTTGCAATCAAGTGTAGCGTCCAGACATATAAATGTAAAGCTTTGTCATACGATTGACCACGACAAATTGAAGGTGGAATTTTGTTCTCATTCGGGAAATCCAAAACATTGTCTGCAAGATCCTTTGATACACAACAGTTTCTGTTAGATCCTTTGATACACAACAGTGTCTGTTAGATCCTTTGATACACAGCAGTGTCTGTTAGATCCTTTGAAACACAACAGTGTCTGTTAGATCCTTTGATACACAACAGTGTCTGTTAGATCCTTTGATACACAACAGTGTCTGTTAGATCCTTTGATACACAACAGTGTCTGTTAGATCCTTTGATACAGAAAAGTGTATGTTAGATCCTTTGATACACAACAGTGTCAGTTAGATCCTTTGATACACAACAGTGTCTTTTAGATCCTTTGATACACAACAGTGTCTGTTAGATCCTTTGATACAGAAAAGTGTATGTTAGATCCTTTGATACACAACAGTGTCTGTTAGATCCTTTGATACACAACAGTGTCTGTTAGATCCTTTGATACAGAAAAGTGTCTGTTAGATCCTTTGATACACAACAGTGTCTGTTAGATCCTTTGATACACAACAGTGTCTGTTAGATCCTTTGATACACAACGGTGTCTGTTAGATCCTTTGATACACAACAGTGTCTGTTAGATCCTTTGATACACAACAGTGTCTGTTAGATCCTTTGATACACAACAGTGTCTGCAAGATCCTTTGATACACAACAGTGTCTGTTAGATCCTTTGATACACAACAGTGTCTGTTAGATCCTTTGATACACACAGTGTCTGTTAGATCCTTTGATACACAACAGTGTCTGTTAGATCATTTGATACACAACAGTGTCTTTTAGATACTTTGATACACAACAGTGTCTGTTAGATCCTTTGATACAGAAAAGTGTATGTTAGATCCTTTGATACACAACAGTGTCTGTTAGATCCTTTGATACACAACAGTGTCTGTTAGATCCTTTGATAAAGAAAAGTGTCTGTTAGATCCTTTGATACACAACAGTGTCTGTTAGATCCTTTGATACACAACAGTGTATGTTAGATCCTTTGATACACAACAGTGTCTTTCAAGATCCTTTGATACACAACAGTGTCTGTTAGATCCTTTGATACACAACAGTGTCTGTTAGATCCTTTGATACACAACAGTGTCTTTTAGATCCTTTGATACACAACAGTGTCTGTTAGATCCTTTGATACACAACAGTGTCTGTTAGATCCTTTGATACAGAAAAGTGTCTGTTAGATCCTTTGATACACAACAGTGTCTGTTAGATCCTTTGATACACAACAGTGTCTGTTAGATCCTTTGATACACAACAGTGTCTGCTAGATCCTTTGATACACAACAGTGTCTGTTAGATCCTTTGATACACAACGGTGTCTGTTAGATCCTTTGATACACAACAGTGTCTGTTAGATCCTTTGATACACAACAGTGTCTGTTAGATCCTTTGATACACAACAGTGTCTGTTAGATCCTTTGCTCCATGGGAAAATATGGAAATTAACTTGATGAAACGTTCCACAGACTTACCTCCTCGAATGTACCGGACCGTAAATGTCAGTTTATCAATGTGGGAATTGTCTGAAGTTGAATCATAACTTATTGAGTAATACTTTTTACTCTTTAATTTCTTCCAGAATAGCACAAAGGTCACCATGCCCCATTAGATCAATGAATTTTTCTCATATTTTTGCCGACAGACATGATGTGTTACCCTTTCCAGCATTTCCATACAGTTTGAGATATTCTTCCAAAAAAAGGGTTAAATTCACTCAGCACCTCTAAAATACCTTAACAGTTTCCATTGCTTACCAACCCAAAATTTTGATCCAAACCTCTGGAGGCAAGAAAGCAAACGACATAAACCCCACGAGTCAGAACTTGATGCCAGAACTTCTGTTTTGACCTATGGTCTTTGATTAATAAAGGACCTAAAGAACTAGCTGCTTTCAGTCGAAGAAAATATGCAGTCATGTCCTTGCGATGCACTACTCCATTTTCATGTTCTACAATTAGATTGTTATGTTTCCAGTACGTAAATCCTGATATAGCAAAGGAAATACTGTTTTGGACAATGGACGACACGCAAAACAATACAAACAACCCTGGTATGGTGAATAGAGAAGCCGTTCAAGTTTTACACTCTGGCCATTCCTCAGTTCACGTTTGAACGTCTTAGTTCTTTCTTCTCCAGCTGTGCCTGAGTTTGAAAGGTTGCAGTCATGATTCTGACACAATGATGGCCCATAGTGAATTCAGTACTCAACTGTGCAAGTGTTCTCAATATTCCAAAGCTCGGGATCTGTGTGGTGAATCACACACTCTCGTTTCCTGACACAGCTTTGTGTGTTTTAATTTGTACAATTTCCCCAGCAGAGGAAATAGGTAATGGTATTGTCTGGAACTAGATGGCTGGATCCAATAGAGGATGCAGATAAGGCTTTTTTATTTTGATGAGCTGTATTAGTCACTGATATTTCGATTGGATTTAACCAAGATGTTAATTGTGCAAGTTTACCCATTTCCCTAGACTCCTCAGCTCCTTTTCTCTTCTGTGCTCCAATAATAAAACTAATTTTTTTATTCCCAGTTAAGGGGTTAAAGACGTAGAAATATATTCACTGGTTATAGGCATTTCTATAGTAATAGCAGTAATCCGTTTAAAAGATACGGGTAATTATTTTTAAAAAAAAAATGGATTTGTCTGTCCCTTCAGACTGACACGTGCCCAGCTAAAAACGAACATCGAGAAAGGATCAATAGAAATGGTGCCATTAATAAAATCGATCTCTGTGTTTGAGCTGACAGGTATGTAAGATGAAAATGACTTTGAGCTTTAAACAGTGAGCACAAATGATGTCTAAGTGCCTAAATATTTATGCCTACAGCTCAGACATACGGCGACTGTTGGGTTCTATTTATCATCTAGATATGTTTTTCAGATACAGATTACAAAATATTTTTCTGTTGAAAAGATATAAAGCTAATTGGGTTTGATTTTTTATTTTAAAAAATAAAGTTACTTTTAAAAAGAATTATTTATTGGTGACCTACAAATTCATGATATAATGCTAATTAAATTCAGTAGTACTTTAACTGGTGCTAGGATAGATTTTTCTCCACTAATTTCACTACGGCGCAGAGGCGTATCTATGGTTATTGCCGCCCGGGGCCAAAATCTTTGTCTAACATGATTGTAAACAAATACTCAAACTTTATTATATTTTTATTCATATCTGGGAGAAGTAAAACGTGTTGACGAGAGTTATTCCCCTTCAAAAGTTTAAAAAGTATCCAACTTGTAGTTCGCATTTAATATTAATTTAGGAACGTGCCAATAAAATCGTGGGTTAAAATTGGGAAACTTGCTGTCCACTGATTTTTAAATTAAATTTAACTGCCAAACCTTTTCAATATTCATTAACAATATTTGCAACATGAAGCCTTTATAAGAGTGAGTCTCCTAGAAGCAAGGGGCCCCCTAGAAGCGTGGGGCCCTGGGCAAGTG